ACTATTTATAGTAAATAGCTACACTTTATGTATAATTGGTGTATAATTAGTATATTAGTGTATAATACGTTTTAAACTTTTTATTTTTTTCAACTATTAGCAATTAGCATATATATTCGAATCCTGGAATTTTATAAATGAAATAATCTTTTCATTAACACCAAATTAATTATACGTAGTAATTTATAGTATATAATTTTATTATACATAGTAATTTATTACAGTAATTTACCGTATATGTATGACATGATTGAACGTGTTTATATTCTAAAATCTCTTGTATGCCATTTTTGAAATAAAAACAATGAAAAACAGGTCATTCCAGACCAATTCTTGTACCATATCGATATACCCATGAGTAACATACATACGTACGTACATACTAAACCAATTCTAAACCAATTCTTGAATCTAACTTAAGCCCGGATCCTCGGTATATTATGATGCACATGGTTGATTTACCTAGCACATGCCCTATCTTTAAATGTTTATTCTGACGAACTATGATGTAAGATGTATCGTTACACAATGTTGATTTGATAGTTGACTTGCAAATTAAGGTAGACAATTGACAATTATCGTTACGTTAATTTGCCACGTTTTTTTCCAAATATGTATACCTGTTTACATATATGGAAATAAATGAATGCTGCTTATTTTTACAAACATTACATAAATTACGTTACATAACGATAAGATAGTAGTTAATTACCGTTACGAATCAAAAAAAAACCATTTAACTAAAATTATCACAATGCAAATAAGATGTCTTTATTCCATTTTTTTTTTAACACACGTGTATTTTGCATTTAATCAATAAATCACTATCAAAAAAATAAATTAAAAATAAATCAATGTCGTTAGTTTCATCAAGTGGTGGTATTACAACTTTGCCAATTTGGATTTAATTACATATGAAACTTGAAATTTCACCCCTAAATTTTGTGTTAGAATTGAGCGTTAACATTGTGAAAACACAAATGTTCACAAATGTTTGTTTACGTACGAAATATTGCATATCCTACCTTCAATATTTGTCTTTTCCTACATGAATTACGTATTCTCAAAATTGTTTGGCTTAAATGTTTTTCCCAAATTTTGTGCCCTAAATTTGTGTTAAAATTGAAAACACAAAATGTTTGGTTTGTTAGTATGAAATATTACATATATCTTCAGTTTTTGATGAACTGCGTATTTTCAAATGTAATTCTTCCGAGTGATACTGTAATTTATCTCTTACAATACAGCAATATGAATTACCTTTTATGTTCTATAATGGAATGGCTTTCTTCAGCGGTGCTGTATTGTATAAATAAATTTGGAGGGTGTACTATAACAACCACTTAATTTAGTAAGGTAGAAAACCTTTTATTGGTTAGTTGTCAATACTGCTAACTAGAAATATAAGTCACTAAACTAAAATAGTACTTTCTACGTAACTATATTAAGTGATTCTTATAGTACACCCTCCAAATTTATTTATACAATACAGCACCGCTGAAAAAAGCCAATGATGCATTAAATCTTAAACTGTAATTCTCTTGGGTGATATTGCAAAAATATTAAAAATTCCATTTTTAGAATATTAATTACTTTTTACGTAATGATAATGTTCTCGAACCTTATATTGTCTAAATTTAGACACGATTTTCACAAATTATACATTTTTTTTTGACCAATAAAATAGCACTATGTTATGAATTAACCAATTAAATTAATTAAGTTGCGAAATTTACAAATAGGTAAGGCTTTATAAAACAATATGGGCGCTTTATGTTTGCTTAATACACCTGTAAAATACACCTGTAAAACATTTCATAAAGTGGATAAGTCAAACGAGTCTTTCAAAAAAGTACTAAAGTACTGTAAAATAATATAAGAACATTCTTCAATTGTGTAACAACAGTTGTGTAAAATACTTTTTATGCATGTAGAAATCATGTGATTTTTAAAGCACACCGGGTACGTACGTACGTACGTACGTATTATTATTGCATGACAGAGATTTACATACATACATACATACATATCGATATTGATACGTACGTACGTATTAATCACAATCTTTGTTTTTTTCTCTTATTCTTAGTTATCCCCCGGCTTTATTGTCTCCGAGCTTTCTTTATTATTCTCCGAAAATCTTGTTAAATGTAAATAAAAAAACTGAAATATGTGATATAAATGATTTGTAACACAAGTCTATTCCATTTCGTCATATGAAACGATAAATATCAAATTATTCCACTCTGTTTTCAGTGTTTGTCAGTGTTTGTCAGTGTTGTGAAAATATTTGAAACATCTCAACAGGTAGCGCGTATTTGGTGTACAAAGTGTTCCACATATGCCACTCACTAGTCTAAAGTGATAAAATCAGTTTCAATTCACCCTAGTTGAAATTATATGAATTGGTTGCCGAATGTGCTGATTGTACGGTCAAACCTCTCTATAATCACATACTTGGTTTCAAGAATTCTGTGCTTATAAAGAATTGTGCTTATATAGAGGTTAAATTTTATATCATATAAAAATTAGTGTGATTATAAGTAAATGTGACTATATAGAGCGAACTATAGAGAGGTTTGACTGTATAATGGTTTTTGACGGCATTGAGCAAGCAATTTATCAATATTTGATTAGCTGGCTGGCTGAATATCAACAGAATATTAACAGAATATTAACAAAATATTAACAGAATATTAACAGAATATTAACAAAATATTAACAGAATATTAACACTTTCCCAGGGAATAGACAATCTTGTTTTGCTAATATCAATATTTATAGAAGAATTGGTTATTCGTTAAAATTGAATATACCAGTTTGATTTAAAAATAAAATTTTCTTATCGTTATATATATCATTGAGTTAATGTTGGTATAATATTTGATCGAAGCTTTTGCCCAAGAATCCACTTTTTACATTTTAATTAAACAAATTTTCCTGCAAAAGTTTAGTATATACACAAGTGCACTCTTCTCTTTCTATACTGTATAAGTACACATTACTTGCCTAACATTTTACTTCATTTTATTTTCACCTAGTGATGCGCAAATTAGCCTTTTTTCAAATTTCATGCGCATCATGTGCATGAGATTCTGGCCTACATTATGGTAACTGGCTGCTAATGCGGGCCATAATTATGAAATTCCAAAATTTTCCCATGCGCAAGGACACATCACTATTTCCACCTAGAGATATGACCCGGATACCAAAATCTCACTCAGATATCTGGATATGTTTAAAATTAGATATCCGGATAAACCCGGGTTATTATTTAAAAAAATTTTTATCTTGCAAATTACATATAAAAGTAAACAGTCTCAAATGCATCATAATTGTGTTCGGCAAACATCATTTTTTTGCTACTAAACTTGAACCCAACTGAGTACGTTTAGCTGTTATTTGATTCCCGCATCAGAGAATAATCTTTCACTAGCTACAGAAGTTGCGTGGATAGACAGATATTTTCTAGCTAGTTTTGATACATTTGGAACTTGTGCTTTTCGATTTAACCACCATTTAAAAAGATCTGCATTATCTTCTGCAAGAGGTATACGCATTGAATCTAAGTAACATTTTAATTCATCCATAAGACCAGATACTAAAGTATTTACATTTGATATACTAAAGATCGATGAATGTAAATGATTATAACGAAAGCTATATTTGAATATCTTTATTTCAATTTGCAAGTGTTTTTAGTCAAGGGTCTAAAAGTGTTGCCAATAATCTAGGCATTAATAGTTTACTCCAATAATCAAATAAAGAATTATAAATTATATGCTATAAAGGTTTTAGAACTTTTTGTATAGTATTAATATATTCCTTATTTTAATTTGTACTATTTATTACTAAACATATTTAATAGCAATTTTTAAAGTTAATAGTTTATCAAGTTTTGAATTATTATTATTATCATTATTGGTTGACTTATCATAATTAAAATTAAATGTTTTTAATAAATAATAAATAAATAATTAATAAATTAAAACATTACAAATAAAATAATAATATAAATTATTTATCATCATTATTGTTATAATCTGTTTGTTTGAATATTTAAAAATAAATAAATATATTTAAAAACTTAGATTAATAGATAAATTATTGATATTGGTATATATTAAATATTATTAAAATAAGTAGTAATATTATTAAAAGGTTTTAACAAATTTATTATATTTTTTAAGGATGTTTTATAGAATAGGTGGTTAAACTTTGCAACTTTGCTATTAAAAAATTAATAATTACTAATTATTAGTAAAGCTTATTTTCTACCTATTCTATAAATTTTTTTTTTTGAACTAACCTCTTTGGGTCTAAAGTTTTTATTCAAGTTATTAGGTAAGAAGACTCACAACAAAACCTCCTATTATATTAACACTTTTACTAAAACACATCTATGGTGTTTTACCACCTATGTTGTATTATCTCAAAAATTGGCTAATTAATCGATATGAGATGTTCTAAGTAAAAATATTCTACGCTCCAAAAAACTCTTCCCAAACCCTAATCCTAATCTTAATATTAACTTTAACGTGAAAAAATTGATGCTAAAAATTTTATATACAAAACTTATAAAAACTTGGAAAATTTTAAAAAACATAATAAAAACATATAATAGGTGCAAAACCACCATAGGTGCGTTTTATAATAATTGTAAATTCCCCTTCATTTTATAACTTAGGTTGATATTAACGAGGGTCCTCTGTATTTTTAGGTATATTTCTCATTACATCAACTATCGCCATATCATGGGCGTGGGTTTGTGTGTTAGGTTCTAATCGTAAAATTAAAACACGTATAGTTAATAATCAAAATTTACGTTCTCCGATTGGTTAATGTCTTATGCGCACATCACGTTCACTGCAAAAGATAATTGTCCTCTAACGATAACAATAATGATAAAAATAAAATAATGTTAGAATAATTTAGCTGTTTCTATATCAATTTAGAAGTAGATACATAACTCCGCAATTCCTATTACCTGAAAGTTCGAATCAGTCTGTTTTTTCTATATTATTTCCGGATGCAATGACAAATATAGATTCAAATTCTAATTCTCTTTCTTTCATACATAATATTTCTAACTTTGCTTGTCATAATACTTTTGTGGATTTGTTTCAAGATATACCACCAACATTCACAGATGAATTCATGGGAAATCTTTCCAATAATTACATTGAACTTCTTGAAAATGAAAATTTCAATGTGATTATTATAATAGGCGAATATCCGAAAAAAGAATTTAAGGCACACTCTGCTATTTGAAGTATAGATTTTTATATTTTCGCAATGAATTAACAAATAGATATTCTGGTAATATTAGAAAAATAATTTTGATTTCACGTATTTCTATTCAACATTCGAAATTGTTATTAAGCTATAATTTGCAAAGATTAACGTTAAAGCATTTTAATTATTAGAAAGGAATTTAATTATAACAGTAATGATTTAACATTAAGGTATATCTATGGAGGTGTATTCTCTTTCAGAGGCCTTGATGATTCATCTGCTTTTGATATTATGATAGTTTCTTGTGAACTTTGTCTTGAAGATTTAACCAGGCATATTGAGTTTTACTTCATTGAAAATAAACCTTATTGGTTACGTAAGCATTTCGCCGCGTTTATAGGACAAGTTTTCAGAATAATGGACTTAAAAAATTACAGAATTGGTGTAACAGTACCATAGTGAAATATCCAAGCGTCATTTTTGATTCTGAGGATTTTACATCAATTAAAGAAAATGCTCTTGTTTCGATTATAAAACGTGATGATTCACAAATGAAAGAAACACATACTATGTGGCTATAAGATAAAGGTGTCTCGCCTCACTTCAATTTATGTACTCTTAAATGAATATATATCGCTCGAAATTTTAAATTTCCGTTTACAAAATATCAGAAAGTATAGGTATCGGTTGACATAGTTTTAAAAACGATTTATTTTTTTTTACATATTCTGTATAAATATTTAAAAATTTCAAATATTTAAAACGTGATATTTTTTGTAGTGTTCTGATAAATATAATAAAAATTTTAGTCAAACCAATTACATGTATTCTCTTCTAAAACGGTAAAAATAACAATGAATGTTTTAAATAGATTTTAATATAATTATATTTTTTTGATGTACGGTGTAAGATAGATTCGTTATCTTAATTTATTTTAATAAAAAAAAAAACATATACAACATATTATTAAATGCTATGAAAATAGTTCAATCGCAAACAAAACAATGATTTAAAAAATCGTCATTTAAAAGTTGTATACCCAAATCTTCCAATTTACAAAGTTTTTCTTTTTTGTCCGAATAATCAACAGGATTAGTACTAATGAAAATCTTTCTTGGAAATCTATATTTGTTCACTTTAGCACTATCCAATAATACATCAAGAACTTGACAACTCATTTTTTTAGATTGACTTAAATCCAAATAATCCAACTTTACACATAAATATTGGAGAAGAATACCAAAGGATTCATCACTAATATCTATATGATTAGTAATTAAAGTAAAGCTACGTAAATGAGAAGGCAAAAATGCCGAGAGCATCCTATAATCATCTTCGGTGTAAGGAGTGAAAGGATTTGAAATTGAAAGATGATTAAGGTTTTTGCAAGATTGAAGTAAAGAAAATAAAGCAGGAATAGCATTAAAGTCAACAGTGGACTCAAAATGAACAAGATTTGTACAGAACTTTGAAATACATTGGATAACATTTGAAATGTCATCCGATTGAAATCTTAATATTAAATGAATTTCTTTTAAAGAAAAATTTGTATTTCGAATAAAATCAATAAGATCAGTAGGAAAAGTATTTTGCTTTACATATAATTTTTGTAATTTTGGAAAATTTTTTGTACCAAATGGCATTTTCATTAAATTATAGTTATTGTCGTTAGATATTGTCAAAGAATCTAGATTATTCCAAGTTATTTGTTTATAACAAGGAACTTCATTAACAAATAAATTTCTAATTTCAAGTGATTTAAGGGAACTAGCTTGTGTTAACAATGCTAAAGATAAATCATTGTTTAATCCAGAATATACAAAAGAATTTAGCGTATAGCTACTTAAGTGATAAGGATGAAGATAATTCCCAATATAAATATGTTCAAGTGCAACTTGGGCTTTAATTAGACCAGATAGTGCAGATTCTCCAACACGTAATGATTCAATTTTTAAAGATTTGATATTTCGACATAACTTAGAATAATAATCTATTGAAGTAAAACTTTCCATTGTTGCAGGAGAAAGTACTTTAAGATTTGCTAAACAATTTTCAATTCCAGGTAATTCAAACAAAATTCTATGATCGACAAGTTGACAATAATGTTCAGAATAAAGATCGAGACATTCAAATCTTGCACCACAATTTAAAAAAACTTTAAAAATTTCTATATAAAGAGGAATGAACCATGTATAATCGTTAAAGGCTGAAATAGAATATAGAGCCCATGTTTTCTTTGTTTTATCTAATTTATCATCTTGAATGTTTAGTATATGTTTTTTATACCATGAATCTAAACATAAACATAAGTTATCATATTTGAAATGGCGTAAGAAGGAGGGATAAATAAATGTTTTTTCTTGATCATGTTTAGGAAAAGGACTGGGTGACCAGTTTATGCCTTGGGATTGAAGTACTGCATGAGCTTCATCTGTGAGAAAAGATGCATAAATATCGATGAGCTTGTCATGTCCATTATTTTCTAAAAGAAGAAAAGGTTGTTTCCATAATATGGGTACAGCTACTTTGCACCATCCTCGATTAACAAGAATACAAGAATGAAGTGACGCTTTGTCACAATTAAGGTATTGGAATATTTCTTCAAGAATTTCCGGAAAAAGATCCATGTTTAAAGTGTAAAGTAATAGCACCCCGTATATAGATGTTCATAGCCCATAAAGTTACACAGCAAGCATTAATGCATAGAATGGAAGGAAAAGCATGTAAATCTCGAATTTCAGTCATACCGACCTTAATTAGAAATATATCGACATTCAATAGATAAGAATATTAACGGAATGTATCAATACCAATATGTAAAAAAATGAGTTGCAGAAATTTTGACCTCTATTATCCATTGTTCCGAGTAGACAAATTTTTCGTTAAATATAGTGACATGTGAAAGTCTATAGATAAATTGACAAATTGTATTCAACTGAATTCTCTGACTTGTTTTAAAACTGAGAAAAATATGTATATATACTTAAAGATTGAATTTTAAGCATAGTTCTGATTTCTATTCACTGTCATAAGTGGCTACGGCAAAAAAATCCCTAAATTGTATATACCCTTGAAAAGATTGAAAAGATTGGGAATTTGAACCATATATGTATTAGCGCTAACGCTAAACGTACTAACTATATCAAAGTATCAATATCAAAAATGTCATGAGATTTCTTTAAAAAAAAGATCTACGAAAAATTGCTCTCTTTAGTGGATGTGGTCTCCCCCAATGATTTCTGGAACGAACTGTCACTTTGTGAACCTATGATCGCGATTGTCGAAGTGTATGGTTACTGTAGATCATTTTATGAAATTCGATACGGAAATACGGAAATACGGAAATATCTATTTGTGAAAGTGATACAAACTTAAAAACAAACCACGTATGTACGTACGTACGTACGTGAAATTAGAAATTTAAGGACGTTAGAGACGATAAAAATAAATAGATATCTGCTCTATTTAAACTTTCACTTTTCGTCATTTTTAGTGTCTCGTGCACGGGTCAGGCTGATCCTCTGATTGAATAATTTCCCCTTTGAGTTTGTATCACTTGCAGTAGTCGGAAATTGAATCAACTAACAAATTAGTTATCTTTCCGATGAAAAAAAAAAAAAAATCTTTTCATAGAGTTATTCTGATTGCCCAAAATTAAATTTGCGTTTAGCATAATGAAGTTGAGATTGTTGAAATTGTAGCAAAATCGTTACTACCATTTTACATCGGCGCATGGTGCGCAGTCTGCAGCATTATACAAGCTGACCAGAATTATATCAGCTAATTAGTGATGGATTCTTCGTAAAACCAGGACCGGACCGTAAAGGCCGATTTTCGGTCCTTAACCGGTTCAAACATGAGGATAACTTTCTCGTGATTGGTCGATCACATGAAATTGAATAACACGTTATGATTGGCCATCGGAATCAAACTACATTATAGTAATTTCTGGGACACCTGCTCATTACCCGAAATCTTTTTGATCGTTCGGTAAATTACCTAACTCTCCAGGAATTACATCATTGCCTCCGGATTGAAGGTCCGAATACAGCGATGTAGTTTCCGGAGAGTTAGGTAATTTACCGAACGACCAAAAAGATTTCGGGTAATGAGTAGGTGTCCCAGAAATTATGATACGTAATAGCTGTAAATGCGGGCCAGGCCGGGCCTTAAAAATCATTAATTTGCAGGCCTCTAACACAGTGACGGAAACGCAATGAATGTGAAGCATTAAGTCTTGTTACTCATCTTTTTCTAAAAATATTTTAAAGCATTAACTTAAAAAAGTTAGCAATACGAAAAAAATTAACATCAACTAAATTTATAACTACTTATTTAAGGTTTTAAATTATCATTTAAAATAAAATATATGTAATTTCTTTAATTAATATAAAAATAAAAATAAGATTTTAACAATCTATAGTATTGATTTAACAAATTTGAATGTTTTTTTTTGCATTTTACACTATTGACTAATAAGGAACATATATTTATATTTTTGTCATTATCCCAAATTAAATGTTTCTATGCAGTAATGTCATAATTCAAGAAAAGTTTTGGCCACGACCTTAAATTAATCAGAGGTGTCCATTGCTACTGGTGGGTAAATCGGGCAAATCATCAACATCTTCGGAATGATTAAGATCAGGGAATGCTTCATAGGTACTACCGGAATCACCCATATATATTCCTACATTACTACCATTTGTTGAAATGGTTCGACCACTCACTGTCCTAGAGTCATCATCATCAGTATATTCTGAATCATAATAAGAATTATTATCATACGAAGTACCAAGGTAAGAAGAATTAGTTAAAGATTTAGGTTGTACGTTGAAATTTTCACTAGTATTATCTTGACTGGCAGCTGATGAAATGTTTGTTCTACCGCCACTTTGATAATTTTGATAATTTCCAACATTAAATGTTCGAGGTTGTGGTACTGAATTACTACGACGATGAAATCCAGAATTACCATTAATGTTATTAGACTCATTAGACCTTTGTTCTATCATTTTTAACCAATAATTTTCAAAAACTTGATCTAAAAAAAAAGCATGAAAAAAAAGTGTGCATTTAATTTATAAATATAAATACGTAAAATTTAATACAAGTGATAAAATTTTAAATATAAAGTGAAACAATAATTTTCTTACCTAATCCAAGTGCATGAGAATGACGGGCACCGACAGAATTTAATGCCTGACTTACACCAGCAGTAAGGGAACCATGAACAAGAGATAATAACAAGCCGTCGTTTCTTGAAAGAGAATTATTGTTCGAATCGTGAGCACCTAAAAGAGGTGTAGAGGCATATGGAATTGGTTCTAATACAGTATGCCTTCGAGGAATGGTTGTGGCATTTGAATTTTGGTATGATACATATCGGTCAAATTCATTCGAGGGATTATAAGTGCCCATATCATCAGGAAGTACAGTGCGAAAATGATCGCCTCTCAAAGTTCCTGGTACAGAACTAGTACCTTGTTTTACATAACCTTTAGACTTTCCTCGGTTTGAAGTGATAAAGTAAACACCCACAAACGTCATGAAACACCCTATCAAGAAGCCAGTGCATTTCCAAAAATCCATTTCAGCAAAATCATTATATAATATAGCGCTACCTATTATTGCTGATATAGTAAATAAAACAAATTGCGTAGGAATAACTTCCTTAAATCGGCATAAATATAAAAAAATCAAAATTATTACATATGTTTACAATCGTGTCACGAAACAATTATAAGTATTAACTACAAACTACAAACCGTTGAATCAAACTGTTTTAATGCCTTGTTGAGAAATTTTATCTGAAGAACCGCAGTAGACATCAGAACAAACAACAAAATATATGTGATTGGGTAACTAAACATCAGAACAAATTTCATTGTCAACAAGGAAGAGATTGCTTTTGTTGATAATACAGTATATCCACCTATATTATCAAAACTAGATGTTAGAAAAACTGTTGATATAATAATATTAATAAGTTTACCAACACCGGTGATGTTAACTTCCAACTCTGACTTTATAACACAAAGTTTAATGTGGTGTTTATCACTACCGGTGTGCTTAATATTATCCTTTATATAAATTATAATTATAATTATAATTATAATTTCAATTTATATATACCGAATAAAATTATAAGACGTTACCAAATATTGCAACCAATGATAGATCAATAATAATTAATTTGTGACCAATTTTATCAGAAAGAAATATTAACAGCATTGACATCACAAGCGTTACTGATAGATAAATGGTAAATTGTGTTTGCATAATAGCAATCCATATCGCCTCAGGTGAAAGCTGTTTAAAGAAATTACATATTAATGATTTTATCATAATATCATGATTATTAATAGTGGCACTAGTGGTGTAGGCATAATTACGTCATTAATCACGGCTTACGATTCAGTTGCAAAACTAATTTGCCGTAACTTTATATTGTCATAGTTAGGTTACGACAATTTGCCTGCAACACTAAAGTTTTACATACTTTTACTTCATCTGACTTCGAGTTTATGACAACGACAACCGCACCGACAATTGCAATCAAAATTCCGAGTAAGTCTTGAGGTCGAAACGTCTCTTTAAGCATTATCGGGGCTAAAATTACATTAGAAATCAAAGCGATGGTTCCAAGAGGCGCTATGACCGAAGCCGGAGCAAACGCGTATGCGATAAAATTGCCCAATTCTCCTAAATACAACACAGATCAATACAAATAAGAATAAATGAGTTTCGATAAAAAAATAAAATGTTACATGGTCGCGAAGTTATATACCATGACTATTAAGGTTAGGAAGGTAATATGCACGGGAATTAGGGATATCATTAGATCATTGAAAGATTTAGTGTATTGTTTAGCCTATGTGTGCTAAACAACAAACGAATTGCCTAATGGTTTAATCAGACTCACCAATGACCATTAAAAAGAGTCCAGCCCACCATGCTTTTGAATGAAGGTAATTGGTATTACCATACTCATCGGGATCTGGTACTTCATAACCATCGTGACTATCCGTAGGAGAATTGTGTGTTCCTAATGGGGTTTGTGGAGAAGTGTTTGCAAAATCGCTGGAATCAAGGCGGTCGAGTTGAAGCTTTTGTAGCTCATTATGGGCGTTTTTTTGAATGTTTAATGCGACAGAGATCAAAATCTGTACAAAGGCATAATATTATCAAACTAACGCAAACACGAATGTGTAAAAC